ATAAACGTATGTATGTAATTTTATAAAAGTAGAAAATTGTTAGCAATATTTTGTAGTAGTAGTTGAGGAATTTCCATGGTGATAATGTAACACTAAAATGATATTATGCATACTTTTAAACGCAATATATGTACATATAGTATGTATGTAACAATTTATGTTTTGTAAGTGAATAATTTATATATACATACATACTTATAGTTAGTTCACATACCAGTCCTAGAAAAGTGACGATTAATGAAAAATGTTTCAATATTTTAAATGTCTACTATGTATATACTTTGTACAAACTTCCGCTCAATTTTCACAAAAGCAATATGGCAATATTAGATTTACCTAATATATTGCATGTACATACTTTAGGGTGCGGCACAAAAAAAATGCGAGGTTTCCACCAGAATTATGCAATCTATTATATTTAAGGTTCTTCGCCAAAACATTTCGGAACAATATTAAGAATAGAGGTAGCTAGACCGATTTGAAAAATACTTCCAAAAATCTCATTATTTTGATTGTGTTGATAAAATTTTAAGCTTTAACTTTTCTGTCATCTGAGGTGATTTTTTGGAAAAAAATTATTTGCAAAACGAAATTTATTTATAAAAAACTATATTTTTTGATTCATTTTTAAATCGGCCCAGCTCCCGTAAATCTTAACAATTTTCCGAAATAAAGCGGAAGCCTTAAATTGTAGTAAATTTTATGATTCCTATGGAAACCGACAGTACCGACTTTTTTGTATGGAGAGTAATGCACCCTAATGTATGTAAATAAGTTATTTAAAAACCTTAGAATTATTTGTTTGGTTATCAACATTAAGACGACGTTCTTAATGCATACACATACTATATACACATTAGTATGAATAAAGTTATCTATAACGAAGCTTTAAAATAAAACTACTATAATAGAAAATTATTTATTAACTATTGAATATTTGTTTTTGTTAAATTCAGGTTGCAAATGACGTTTTAATTCGAGCTGCTCCATACAAACAAAGGGGAAAAGGAATGCAAAGTGGAATACCTCTTGACTCTCAGAAGGGCTTTTAGCTTCCGGGAAAAGTTTAACCTGTATAAGCCACATAATCAATTGTTAATTAAAAGCAACTACTCTTTTCCTCTAGCCTGTAGGGGCCCATCAATAAACCTGTAATAACTCTTAGTTTCTCCTTTGGCAGATCCATGAGTAACCTATATCTTATCAGTTTGTATCCACCTAATATGCTTTTCGCCTGACGTTGACCGATGGTGTTACGCCAGTGCAATTCTCTCAGTTTACAATTTACCTCTCTGAGCATTTCCTTTATGGTGTTGGGCCCCACTGCCAGAAAGGGTGCAGGTCCTATCGGGGTCGAGGAAGCGGTCATTCTGGTCAGATAATCAGCTTCCTCATTACCTGCAACACCCATGTGCCTTGACCATCAGTTGGGTATCATTAACCTCCGCCAGAGCATTAAGCCTCTCTACACAGGCCCTGAAGTTCCTTTTGAAGACCACCTCTCTCGCTAAGTTAAGGAGGGTTCGCTTTGCAACCTGTTCTAGTGAAAGATGCAGTGGCTCGAGCTCCACCCTTACATCCAGCGCTGCTGTCGGGCATGTGCGCATTGTTGAATCTTTGAGGGCCTGCCTCACCGCAGGAATACTCTTGCAATACCAAGCCACCGAACCATAGGTCACCATTGATCTCACTATCCATCTGAGGATCCTTGGAGTACACCCCCAGGATTTACCCGCTAGACGTTTGCACACCATCACCGCTCTCGTAGCCATAGAGGAGACCGCATCAACATGGGCACTCCACAGAAGCTTTGAGTACAGGGAAAGCCCTAGATACTTAACCTCTGTGGCGACATTGATTACGACCCCGTCTAAGGCCAAGTTCCAAGTGTAGGGGACTGTAGCCGTCTTAAAAGGGTTGATATTTAAATCTGTAGATTAAAACAAACATTTATACTAATTTTTGCCCAAGGGAAAACCCTTCGTAAAATCGTTAGAGCACCAGATATGGTTTGTTTAGTTATGCCGTTCTTCCAGCAAACAAGCATACGTACATATGTACGTACATACATGTATACATATTTCTGCTAAAGGTAAGAAAATCTATTTTCTATTTTCCGCTAATACGATTTCATTGCGCTTGGAGTGAAAAAGGTTACAATTTTAAATTTTGAGATCTGCCACAGAATAACCGTAAAGAGCTCCTTTTTATAAAAGTTGTCGCTAGAAATTTCCACTTACAACTCGAGCTGTTGTTGCTTGAACGAAAATACTATCTTAGACGAAACTCCAAAGCTCCACTTGCAGAATCGTTCGTTTGGCTTTAGTAGGAGTTTTAAGAAGATGAAAGGTCCAACTTAGCTTTTTTATCGAGCGTAATTTCCAGATATCCGGTCCTAACAGAACATTTTAGCCTTCGTTAGATTGCGTTTGTGCCTCCTTCTGAACGGCATATATTTTCCGGATATGTTCATTAGTTACTATTTCCGGTTTTGATTCGGATAACCACTCCATTAAGTATGCTTACCAAAATTGTATCGTTTATCCCTTGTGACGTGTGACTTAAAATGCTTGTAAAAATACATATTATTCGATCCTGCATTAACTTTTCCTGAATTGCCGGAAGTCACTTTGACCAATAACTGGAAAGGGAAAACAACAACATGTCTGAACGGAATAAAGGAAATTGTCAAACAAATGATAACAAATCCATTAACCAATCACCGAAAACCACATATAGAATGCAACACTGCATCGAGCCACAAAATTACCGATACACTATTTGTCTCTTTCATACACACCTATTTTAAAGCGCATGTAGCGTCGAGCTGTTGCGTTGGAACTAAAAATATTTTCTACTGACGTGTGTTTGACAAGGGATCGTCGAAGAAGCGATACATTTGCGGCAGTATTTATTTTACTAAACGCAGTTGAAAAAGCATTTGATTAGGGATTCTTTGGATAGTAAAAGATATAAGTAAAAGGAACTGTTCACTACAATACCAAAAAAGTTTCTGGAAAAGTGCAAGTCGGACTTTTGAATCTGTGACGCACTCCCTATACAATATAATACAGTGCATCCAGCAGCGCTTATTGGAGGCCAGCACAAGAAACTGCTAGTAGCAGAACGTTTAGAAAGTGGCAGATTACACGTAGCACCTTTTCATCTTATTTGTAGTTCAAGTAAATTTAATTAAAACGGCTTGGAAACACGTGTCTGGTGCACCTTCATCATGGTAGTGCCGCTGAATGATATGCTGCCTTTTGCCAGCGCAGAACGAAAGCTGGCAGCGTGCGTACTGTTGTTGCTGCTAGAACTATTTCTAGAAGGTAAGCCTTTTTAGACTGGAGCTAGGTAATATACAAAGAAATCTAGATAAATACACTTTTCCTTGTAAAAGCGGCTTTTCTTATTAAACATAATCGTTTTTTGTTTTTATATCATCTTCCTCATATCACTTTGTTGCCACTCTGCCAACTGTGCAAACAATTTTGTATAACTGCTAATGTGCATAATAACAACAACAACACATGTGGAATGCAAATAACAACAATGAATACATAACCTTCACATAGGTGCCGAAGCGGTGCCCAATCAGGCTGACATTGAAAACCATCTGGAGCTGGGCAAAGAATTTCTAGCGCGGGGACAGCTCTCAGATGCGCTCACGCATTACCATGCAGCTGTTGGTGAGTAATAGCGAATATTATGACATAACAATTGATGGCAATCCATTTGTTTTACATCACATCTAACGTTTTTTGTTATAATTTAGAGGGTGATCCCAACAACTATTTGACACTTTTCAAGAGGGGCACGGTCTACTTAGCACTGGGCAAGGCGCGTTTCGCAATAACAGATTTCACTCGTGTTTTGGAACTGAAGCC